GACGACTGGGCGAAGGTATAAGAGAAAAATATGAGACGTTAGCATCATGCATTCAGTAATAAATAGATATTTCCCATTGAGTGGTCTGTTTGAAAGGGCCCAGGGGTTAGCATTGGACGGGCAGCACAATGACACCTAGACAGCGATTTATCCTGCCAGGCAAAAGTAGGACCTCCCTATTTGATGTCGTTATATCAACGTGTCGGATATATTGTAAAAAAAAAAAAAATTATGCATTGTTTTGAAAAAGAAACATGGAAGGAGCTGCTAAATGAAAGGGAGGTGATTTTGTGAGTGCCAGGGAGCAAAAAGAGAGGAAAAAAAGCACACGAGGGTGTATTTAACTAACTTTGTATTTTGCCACACATGTTTTCATTTACAGCTACGTCTGATAAGTGAACACGTTTGACATCACTGTAAATACAATACTATCTATGGCCTACAAAAAACTAAGTTGGGGCGGTGCTCAGCTCTGCTGAAGCTTGGCCGATGGCATCTGTTTGGAAAGGGAGTCAGATTATTATTTCTTCGTAGTAAATTATCTGCAGAGAAACACTGAGGCGTGCAAAGTACTATTTAGAATGTGCAGTCACATAGCTTTTAAAACGCAGCTGTAACATTCTGGGAACTTTCTGCATCCGCACGACAACTACTCTTTGCGATTTCAGTGGATTTCTAAAACTGATAGTACAGCTGAAAAACCACCGCACCTGTTCAGTTGTACTACTGGAATCGAGAAGCACGGGTAGGCTTTTTCTGGGTCTAAGTATAAGACCTCAGACAAGAGGCATAGTTAATTGGTTCGGTAGTTATACATTTAATAGCTTTCTTCCTAACACAATAATTTCTTAAAAAGGAAAGACAAACAGGAGTCAGGATGTCTCCACGATTGCAAATCATAATAAATAATAATTTTTAAGTACATCTCTCACATAAATTCCATTTTGTAACACACTGGTAAATGCACGATGCTGGGGCTTCCAAAATGTGCGTATCCCACTGATGGCTCCAACTTCGAGTTGGCTCAGCTCTGTAATTGGAATGAAAGAATTTAACACTATTAGACAAAGACTCAAATGCAGCGTAAAGGGAAGCTAGATTTCCTTATATAATTTTTTTTTTTTAATTTGAGGACTTATTTTAAGAAATGGTGGCTCCTATGCAGGACTTAGGAGTTCTTTATAAAAAACATGTATTTGTTTGGCACCAACACTGTATTTCAAGTTTAAAAATGCCTTTTACTAGGAGTTAGCCTTCTCTTAAAGCCAGCCACCAACCCCATTTTTTTTTTTTTGCCAGCACCACTGTACTTGATTTAAATTTAGGGGCCCAAACCTGCTTCTGATATTGAATGCTTTGCAGATGCCTGTCAAAATGTTTGTTACACAAACTATATTTGCACCATCCAGGCCTCATCTTTGTGAGATAACTGCAATAACTACATCCTGATGTCACTGTTATTCGGAGAATGTGTCTGCCTTAAAATCTTTCATCGGATGCTGAGCTTTGTAAAAGTGGTATCTCCAGCTACTACTTCAGAGGGAGGCTGTGTATCTCCTAGTGTGATCAGAAAAAAAAAAAAAAATCTCTGAAGCCACAAACACGACTTCCAGCACATGGAGTAGTTTACTATTAAACTTTTGCTAAGCAAATTAAGTGTGGTTACAGGACTATACCAAACTGCACATAAAAGAAGGTCAAAATGTAAAGGTCTATACACTGTCTTCATGTTGTGAAAAAGAGGCAGAAGGCAGATGATAAACTGTCCAGAACTCGGCAGCATCAAGCACAACCTGTTTCTTCAAATAAGGCTTCTTCAGAGTTGCAATATATCTTTTTTTTTTAAATAAAAAGAACTGAAAACAAATAAACAAAAGCAGTGTTTACTATATTCTCAAACAGCTGGCTTTGTCTAACATTCTATTAGTGTTCCAGGGGAAGTTGACTAAAGTGCAGAATTTGTAACATAGTTACATGAATTTGTTCATTTAAAAATAGTCAATGCTTAAGATCCTACTAGTGAAGATAGCTAGTCTTTCAAATGATCTTTAAGTTAGCCTATACACAGCCTGTTTGGCGTTACATACCAATATATCAAAGCACAGTGTATATTCCACGAAGGTGGAATATTTTCGCTTGTCTTTCGGGATAACATGATCTGAAAACCTTACCGCTTGTTTATAGTAAAGTTCTCCAGAATATTTACAGTGAAAAAAAAAAAAAAAAAAAAAAAAAAAAAATATGTTGAACACGGTTAAACCAATATGACTTGGATTATGAAACTAAGGGGTAAATTTTATTTTCTATTTAAACAAATGACCTTCAGTGTTAAAGGAATAAAAGCAAAAACAAACAACCCTTGATTTGTCCAAAGTGTTATGTTGAAATCTTGTCAGCCTTGCTAACAGAAAATCATGGTGTAAGGAAGAAGGAAAAATAATCATTTAACAAAAGGCAAGAATTGTTTATCTTTATCATTAAATGCATATGCCCAAGCCACCTCTGACGCCTTATCTGCCTGCCTCATTGCCTTAGATGGGTTTGTTCCTAGATCAAGTGTAGGGCCATGTCTAGAAGCCCAATGCCACTGTTTTGTTTTTTTTCTTTCTTTCTTTCTTTTTTCCCCCCACCAAAGGGCAATGAGATGGCTTAAATCATTTAAAAAAAAACTTCAGAAGAAAAAAATGAGAGGTCATATATTAAATACGCTAATCACTATATAGGGCCAGGCTCCCGCCTCACAAAACAGCCTAGTAATTCACCCTGAATTGACTCCCTATTCTTCATTATCCTTCCACTGATGAAAAAGATGGATTTTACACTTCTAGGCAGTTGTTGGCCCAGTTAAACTGTACACTAAGAAACTAGTACAGAAGTCAAAAAAAAATGCAGTTTATTATTGTAGATTACTTTCTTGATATAACCAGAATTGAAATGAAGAAAAGCACTAGGAACATCACGCGTTTAGTTAACTCAAAGATAAAACAATTTGCACAGCAAATATGTAAAAGAAAAGTAACTGACAAATTTTTATATTTAGTGTGTAAGATTACTTTCATTCTTTTTAAAGACAGAAGTCAGTCCCTGAAAATAACATTATGGATTATTGCTTTAAACTGTGGATTTTAATACAGAACCAGTTCTGCCCACAATACACTGTAAAAAAACTGCATCTCTTAAACTGTGCAGTAATGCCTTTTTATAACTGCATAAATTATTACGTTCTAAACAGTTTTGCAAATTTTTGATTATATGCTTGCGGTTATACTTAGTGCAATTCAGTCCAAATATTTAATGAAAAAAACATACATTTTTAATGTAAAAATACCCTACAGATATAAACAGGTCTTTCCCTTTAATACTTTGGTTTTTCATACAGTCAGTGGTATACAAAGACTACACATACCAACTTATGTTTAAGTTGCAAGCACATGCTGTATAGCTACTTTTTTAAACAGTCCCTTGCAAACTCTACCCCCTTAACATCACAACAGTAAACAATTAGTGCATCTCATCTTGAAAAAATCTACAGCTAAACAGACTAACTCTTTCAAATTTCTATAACATCTTTACTGTAGCACAATTTAACTGGGCTAACAGATTATAAAAACTAGAATTAAATATATACTAAAACCTAGCATTCCACATTTGACAATGACCAAAGCCAAAAAAAAATAACAAAAAATAAAAATAAAAAAACAAAAATAAAGGGAGATTTATCTTTTAAAAAATAAATTTAGACTGCTTCGCACAACACAATTAGTCCCCAAAGTGGGCATCATTCTATAAAACGTACATTAAGAGTTCGTTAATGTTGCCATGTTAATTTGTAACCCATACTGTTTCTTTGACAAGAATGCTTCAGTGCATTACATTGGGAGCTGAATTCTGAGTAACTCAAAGGATTTTGGAGTAGATGCAAACTTTCATGAAAAAAGCTCAGGGTTGCACTTTTTTCTGAACTCAAAAAGTCATGAGGCAATAAAACAAAAGTATGATGCCATGCTATAAGTCTTCGAACGTCCATTTCCAAGCCAAAAAGAAAAAAAAAGAAAAAAAATATTATACATACATGTCCGAGCTGCAGGCTTCTTTTTTTTATTAATATAATGTCTCTTTCCATAAGTCTTTGAAACAGTTATATTCATGTTGCTAAACAAAGTAGCAACATAATAATGCATGAATGAAATGAGTTTTTAATGGCAGACTAAACTCTCAGATTGGCATCACAAGGCCAAAATTCACAAGTCACACCAGAGGTTGATGCAGGCTTGATTGTGGCAGTTCATGAGGATTTTTTCTCTATTTTACATAACAAGGCTAAAAAACCCGATGGAACTCAGCAGCTGCAAGTCTATACATTTCACATTTTTTTTCCTTGCAAACTCAATCTCACATGAAGAACTCAGGAAAAAAAAAAAACTTGCTTTTTTTTTTCTTTTACTTGAGGAGATGGTAAGAGTGAGTGAGGTGAAGACGGAAGAAAGGGGCAACAAGCAAGCTCCAAAGTAAATAAAAAAAAAAACAACAATTAAACAAAATAAACACACAACACACAGAAAATGAACCGCTCATGACTGAAGAAGAAAAAATATATATATAATAATGTGAATGATGCATGGTTCAAAGGTAGCATTTTCACATGAAGAACTCTGCTGAGTATCTTGAACATTGTGCAAGTCCGAATTGGGGCGGTGTAAAAAAAAAAAAAAACCAAGCTAGCAAGTTATGGAGAATTTCAGATTGGCAATCCATGAGCCAGACACCCAATTCCCTCCCCAACTTAAAACAGCCACCACCACCACAAACTCGGAGCAGGGTGCGTGTGCGTGTGCGTGTGTGTGTAAGTGTGTGTGCGCACAGGGCCAGGGGGCAAACTCGGCAGGGGAGGGGGCGACGTGGTGGCGAGCGTGTCTCTGGCACTAGCAAGCCCACACCCGAGCCGGACCCCCACGGAGCACTTATCAGGGTGGCTAGCTGGGATCGCGTGTCAGACTCACATGAAAAACTCGGGAGAGGACGGGTTGTCGCTGCTCGAGCCGTTTTCTCGGAAGCCGCTGCTCACCAACTTCTCGTACTTCTCCTTGTACGCGTCCCTCTCGCGCACCAGCCTGGAGATCTCCTGCTTGAGGTGGTCGACTTGCTGCAGCAGCTGGTTCTTCTCGGACTCCAGGACGTGCCTCTGCTGCACCCTCTTGAAGCGGCAGGACTGGGCATAGCCGCGGTTTTTCAGGGTCCGCCTCTTCTGCTTCAGCCGGATCACCTCCTCCTTGCTGACCCCGCGCAGCTGGCGGTTCAGCTCGCGCACCGACATGGTCACCAGGCAATAGAAAGAGTAATAAATGATAGCCTAGCACTGCAATGAAACTCTTCAAAAACAAAACAAAAAATAAGACATTTCTCAAAAGGGACAAAACTATTAAAAAAAAAATCAAATGACATGAATCTGCTGTGAATCTTGCACATCACCATCCAAGGCGGTGATTCCTCCTCCCTCTGCGTGAATGTTACATGAGAGCTAGGAGAGCTGGGTTGTGTGTTTCACTGCATGGGAAATCAGATGGCGAAGTTGTCACTCATGTATTTATCCTTCCAACCTATCTCCGTCTTTAACTACCGCCAGGCACAGAAATAGAGATACTCGTGCAGCAATCGACTTTTAAATATATTGATTGGTGGCATACTGGGGAGCAATTTTATAAAGCCAAAATACGGAATACGGAAGCAGTTGGCCTCAACAAAATCAACGGCGAGGGCAACAAACCTCCCCATGTACTGTACGGCAACCTTTGAATGTGTCACAAGCAACTCAGCTATTCGACTGGGACATGCTGGAATGTGCTGCTGAACAGCTGCACACTGTTTCGCGAGTCGGCCACGATTTGCCTTCTGTCCCTCTTTTAGCAAGTTTAAAAACCGTGGTTTGGGCAGGGAAGTTCTACTTAAGAATAAAATCTAGGATTGATGTCACTAAATAAAGACGACTGGGGCGAAGGTATAAGAGAAAAAATGAGACGTTAGCATCATGCATTCAGTAATAAATAGATATTTCCCATTGAGTGGTCTGTTTGAAAGGGGCCCAGCGGTTATGCATTGGGACGGGCAGCACATGACACCTAGACAGCAGATTATCCTGCCAGGCAAAAGTAGGACCTCTCCTATTTGATGTCGTTATATCAACGTGTCGATATATTGTAAAAAAAAAAATTATATGCATTTTTTGAAAAAGGAAACATGAAGGAGCTGCTAAAGAAAGGGAGGTGATTTTGTGATGCCAGGGAGCAAAAAGAAAGAGGAAAAAAAGACACACAGGGTGTATTTAACTAACTTTGTATTTTGCCACACATGTTTTCATTTACAGCTACGTCTGATAAGGAACACGTTTGACATCACTATAAATACAATACTATCTATGGCCTACAAAAAACTAAGTTGGGGCGGTGCTCAGCTCTGCTGAAGCTTGGCCGATGGCATCTGTTTGGAAAGGGGAGTCAGATTATTATTTTCTTCGTAGTAAATTATCTGCAGAGAAACACTGAGGCGTGCAAAAGTACTATTTAGAATGTGCAGTCACATAGCTTTTAAAACGTAGCTGTAACATCTGGGAAACTTTCCGCATCCGCACGGACATACTACATCTTTGCGATTTCAGTGGATTTCTAAAACTGATAGTACAGGCTGAAAAACCACCGCACCTGTTCAGTTGTACACTGGAATCGAGAACACGGGTAGGCTTTTCTGGTGGTCTAAGTATAAGACCTCAGACAAAGGCATAGTTAATTGGTTCGTAGGTTATACATTTAATAGCTTTCTTCCTAAAACAATAATTTTCTTAAAAAGGAAAAGACAAACAGGAGTCAGGGGAGTGTTCTCCACATTGCAAATCATAATAAATAATAATTTTTTAATGTACATCTCTCACATAAATTCCATTTTGTAACACACTGGTAAATGCACGATGCTGGGGCTTCCAAAATGTGCGTATCCCACTGATGGCTCCAACTTGCGAGTGGCTCAGCTCTGTAATTGGAATGAAAGGAATTTAACACTATTAGACAAAGACTCAAATGCAGCGTAAAGGGAAAGCTAGATTTCCTTATATAATTTTTTTTTTTTAATTTGAGGACTATTTAAGAAATGTGGCTCCTATGCAGGACTTAGGAGTTCTTTATAAAAAACATGTATTTGTTTGGCACTCAACACTGTATTTCAGTTTAAAAATGCCTTTTACTAGGAGTTAGCCTTCTCTTAAAGCCAGCCACCAAACCCCATTTTTTTTTTTTTGCCAGCACCACTACTTGATTTTAAATGTTAGGGCCCAAACCTGCTTCTGATATTGTAATGCTTTGCAGATGCCTGTCAAAATGTTTGTTACACAAACTATATTTTGCACCATCCAGGCCTCATCTTTGTGAGATAACTGCAATAACTACATCCTGATGTCACTGTTATTGGTAGAATGTGTCTGCCTTAAAATCTTCATCGGATGCTGAGCTTTTGTAAAAGTGGTATCTCCACTACTACTTCAGAGGGAGGCTGTGTATCTCCTAGTGTGATCAGAAAAAAAAAAAAAAATCTCTGAAGCCACAAACACTGACTTCCAGCACATGGGAGTAGTTACTATTAAACTTTTGCTAAGCAAAATTAAGTGTGGTTACAGGACTATACCAAACTGCACATAAAAGAAGGTCAAAATGAAAGGTCTAGTACACTGTCTTCATGTTGTGTGAAAAAGAGGCAGAAGGCCAGATGATAAACTGTCCAGAACTCGGCAGCATCAGCACAACCTGTTTTCTTCAAATAAGCTTCTTCAGAGTTGCAATATATCTTTTTTTTTTAATAAAAAGAACTGAAAACAAATAAACAAAAGCAGTCGTTTACTATATTCTCAAACAGCTGGCTTTGTCTAACATTCTATTAGTGTTCCAGGGAAGTTGACTAAAGTGCAGAATTTGTAACATAGTTACATGATTTGTTCATTTAAAAATAGTCAATGCTTAAGATCCTACTAGTGAAGATAGCTAGTCTTTCAAATGATCTTTAAGTTAGCCTATACACAGCCTGTTGCGTTACATACCAATATATCAAAGCACAGTGTATATTCCACGAAGGTGGAATATTTTCGCTTGTCTTTCGGATAACATGATCTGAAACCTTACCGCTTGTTTATAGTAAAGTTCTCCATGAATATTTACAGTGAAAATATGTTGAAACACGGTTAAACCAGATATGTACTTGGATTATGAAACTAAGGGGTAAATTTTATTTTCTATTTAAACAAATGACCTTCAGTGTTAAAGGAATAAAAGCAAAAACAAAACAAACACCTTGATTTGTCCAAAGTTTATGTTGAAATCTTGTCAGCCTTGCTAACAGAAAATCATGGTGTAAGGAAGAAGGAAAAAATAATCATTTAACAAAAGGCAAGATTGTTTATCTTTATCATTAAATGCATATGCCCAAGCCACCTCTGAGCGCCTTATCTGCCTGCCTCATTGCCTTAGATGGGTTTGTTCCTAGATCAAAGTGTAGGGCCATGTCAGAAGCCCAATGCCACTGTTTTGTTTTTTTTCTTTCTTTCTTTCTTTTTTCCCCCCACCAAAGGGCAATGATGAGGCTTAAACTCATTTAAAACTAAAACTTCAGAAGGAAAAAAATGAGAGGTCATATATTAAATACGCTAATCTATATAGGGCCAGGCTCCCGCCTCACAAAACAGCCTAGTAATTCACCCTGAATTGACTCCCTATTCTTCATTATCCTTCCACTGAGAAAAAGATGATTTTACACTTCTAGCAGTTGTTGGCCCAGTTAAACTGTACACTAAGAAACTGAGTACAGAAGTCAAAAAAAAATGCAGTTTATTATTGTAATTACTTTTCTTGATATAACCAGAATTGAAAAGAAAGAAAAGCACTAGGAACATCACGCGTGGTTAGTTAGAACTCAAGATAAAAACAATTTTGCACAGCAAATATGTAAAAGAAAAGTAACTGACAAGATTTTTATATTTAGTGTGTAAGATTACTTTCATTCTTTTTAAAGACAGAGTCAGTCCCTGAAAATAACATTACTGGATTATTGCTTTAAACTGTGGATTTTAAGTACAGAAACCAGTTCTGCCCACAATACAACTGTAAAAAAACTGCATCATCTTAAAATGTGCAGTAATGCCATTTTTATAACTGCATAAATTTTACGTTCTAAACATTTTGCAAATTTTTGATTATATGCTTGCGGTTATACTCTAGTGCAATTCAGTCCAAATATTTAAATGAAAAAAACATACATTTTGAATGTAAAAAACCCTACAGATATAAACGGTCTTTCCCCTTTAATACTTTGGTTTTCATACAGTCAGTGGTATACAAAGACTACACATACCAACTTATGTTTAAGTTGCAAGCACATGCTGTATAGCTACTTTTTTAAACAGTCCCTTGCAAACTCTACCCCCTTAACATCACAACAGTAAACAATTAGTGCATCTCATCTTGAAAAAATCTACAGCTAAACAGACTAACTCTTTCAAATTTCTATAACATCTTTACTGTAGCATAATTTAACTGGGCTAACAGATTATAAAAACTAGAATTAAATATATACTAAAACCTAGCATTCCACATTTGACAATGACCAAAGCCAAAAAAAAATAACAAAAAATAAAAATAAAAAAACAAAAATAAGGGAGATTTATCTTTTAAAAAATAAATTTAGACTGCTTCGCACACACAATTAGTCCCCAAAGTGGGCATCATTCTATAAAAAGTACATTAAGAGTTCTTTAATGTTGCCATGTTAATTTGTAACCCATACTGTTTCTTTGACAAGAATGCTTCAGTGCATTACATTGGGAGCTGAATTCTGAGTAATCAAAGATTTTGGAGTAGATGCAAACTTTCATGAAAAAAGCTCAGGGTTGCACTTTTTTCTGAACTCAAAAAGTCATGAGGCAATAAAACAAAAGTATGATGCCATGCTATAAGTCTTCGAACGTCCATTTCCAAGCCAAAAAGAAAAAAAAAGAAAAAAAATATTATACATACATGTCCGAGCTGCAGGCTTCTTTTTTTTATTAATATAATGTCTCTTTCCATAAGTCTTTGAAACAGTTATAATTCATGTTGCTAAACAAAGTAGCAACATAATAATGCATGAATGAAATGAGTTTTTAATGGCAGACTAAACTCTCAGATTGGCATCACAAGGCCAAAATTCACAAGTCACACCAGAGGTTGATGCAGGCTTGATTGTGGCAGTTATGAGGATTTTTTCTCTATTTTACATAACAAGGCTAAAAAACCCGATGGAACTCAGCAG